ATATAGACACACAGACTGTCACAGTCTTCTTGAGCCCCAATTTTCTCACCTGTGGCATGGCGCATAATAAGTACCTTGGACAATGACATAAGAGCTTACACGGAAAAGCGTTGTGAGAACTACAGTGCAGATACTGTCTTCTAAGACAGAGGGGCTCAGACAATCACACCAGCCACAGGGACACACAGCAATGACAGGCACTGTTTATTGAGAAATTACTCTGTGCCCATCACTGTACCAAGAACTTTCAGTTTTTCCTTCCTTTTCCCCACAGAAGGGAAATTCTGTGTTACATCACCTCAAATCCATTTTCACAAAGGCTGTAGGAGGTAGGGATGTGTTCGGGGTTACTAGAGGGTAGGGTTTGTTTTGCAGCCTCCGAGAGGGCCTGCTATTCTCAGCCATTACTTATTTTCTGGGTTTTTCTTGTCTTCTCCAAATTAGGAAGACTGAGAGACTAGGGGCTGCGGCTCTGGGATGGGGTTTTAAATCCTCTATTCCCTGAAGCCCTAAAGGCAGAAGAGTCCCCAGGGAGAGACTGCTGCTCCTTCTCAGTGCCCCAGAGCTGTCACTGATGTTGAACAGGAGTGTTAAAGAGGGCCATTTCTAGAGGGTTGGGGATCTGATCATGGGTCCTCGCATCTTAAAGATGGATATCCAGGGCTGGGTGTGGTGACACACACCTTTAATCCGAGCACTCAGGAAGCAGAGGCAGACAGATCTCTGTGAGATCAAGGTCAGCCTGCTCCACACAGTGAGTTCCGGGCCAGCTGGGGCTACAAGGGGAATCCATTTTTAAAAAAACTTAATTAATTAATTAATTAATTAAAGTATACCCAGAGCATAAATGTAGCTCAGTGGCAGAGCTAGCATGTGCCCTGGGTTCCATCCCAAGCATGGGAAGAGGGCTGGGCTTCTGCACTGGGTCACCAAGTCCAGTTTCTTGACCAGATCAAGGTACAAGATGCCCACATGTGCTCCTTGTCAACCCTGCTGAGCCTTCCATACAGTGCTTATGGTGGGGCTCAGTGAAGGAGGGCCAGCCTAGCCTGTGGAAGACCTAAGTTCTACTTCTAGCACCCAACCCCCATCCAAAAAAAAAAAAAAAAAGAGAGATCAATTTACTCATTATGTATATTTTATCACAATTAAAAAGAGAAGTGCCAAGGTTTTATAAGAAAGAGAAAATGAAAATAATTTCCCACTGGGGGATTCATTAAAGAAATGCTTTCCAGGGCTGGAGAGATGGCTCAGTGGTTAAGAGCACTGACTGCTCTTGCAAAAGACCTGGGTTCAATTCCCAGCACCCAAATGGCAGCTACAAACTGTCCTTAACTCCAGTTCCAGGGGAATCCGAAGCCCTCTTCTGACCTCCGAGGCACTGCACGACACGGGTACACTCACACACATGTAGGCAATACACTCATACACATAAAACAAAATAATAATAAATAAGAAAGAAAGAAAGAAAGAAAGAAAGGCTTTCCTCAAATGGCCTGGCACATTCTATGTAGCCCAGATTGACTTTAAACTTTCAGCTATCCTCTTGCCTCAGTCACCAGAATCTGGGATCAAGGTCCTGTGCCACCATCCCTCATTCATTTGTATTCTTTCAGCGGTTTGCCAGCTCCACACAGCTGTGCTGTCTCACTTACTTGAGGAAAATGTTGGCCAGGCACGTGTGATTCCAAACATTCAGGAGGCTGAGGCAGGATAATGGCAAAAGCCTAAAGGGTTTCCAGGGCAGCTGGGATAACGTGGCAAGGCTCCAAGTTTTTTTATTTTTATTTTTGGCAGTGTCTCACTATGCAGCGTAGACTGGCCTTAAACTCCTGGGCTAAAGTTATCTTTCTGCCTCAGCTTCCCAGACAGTGGGATGACAGGCTCGTGCCACCACACCCAGCTTACAGACACATGTACACACACATGCATACCCTGTTCCATTACACAGTGGTTATCCCTCTGCATGGAAGAACCATGGATGAAATTTTATTCCTTTTTTCTGCTTTTCAGTGCTGAGTTTTCTGTATTTAAAATATATGACTTTTATAATCAGGGTAAACCAAATAACCCAACAAATGCCATTTTCTCACTGATGAGGCCCTCCAAGTAGCAGATATGGAGGTTCACACTCTTCTGAGCAGAGATGAGGTGGCACTTTCCAGGGACACTGGAGTTTGTCACAGCTGCTGCACTGCCACCCAGATCACAGCAAGCTGGAGGCATACCCTGCTTACAACATCTTCCTTAAATTGCCCAGCACCCCAGAGGGCAGCACCCCAGGGATCAGTACCCTAGAAGTGGCTGATCTTCAGATTCACTTTGTCAGTTGGGGTTACAGTTGCTTTAGGAAATCCCTCAATGAGAAATTCTAAATGGGGTGCTTGGTGCTGATTCTGTTAGTCCTGTTGAGTCCAAAAGACCCCACTGTGCTCACCAAGTCTAGATGTCACCCTGTTCTGCCTCCCCTATGCTATGCTGGACAGCCTGGCTGTGACAGCTCCATTTACAGTGGGGAGTCTGAGACTCAGAGTCAGTCAGGCACTCCCTTCAGGTCTCACAGCAGGCACACACTGGAGCTGGATTTTATCTCCACTGGGGGCTTTTCTGTTGTCTTGTGGTTCTGGGGGTGGGACCCAGGGCCTTGTACAAGCCCACTAAGCCACATCTCAGCCCTGGAGCTAGAATGAGTAGGGGCCTGCCTGACCTTAGCTCTATGGCCTCTGTCACAAGGCTGAACAGATAATATCATCCCTTCTCTGAGGGAAACCCAAAGGCCAGAGGCCCTTTTTACTGTGTGGGGGCAGGGCACACCCAGAACTCAGACTTCCGTGATGGCTGTGGTGATAGTTAGGCTTATTCCCTTGTGTGAGATGCTCCCTTTGAATCCCACTACCCGCCACATGGGGGTGGAGCAGAGAACATGAGCCTTTTCAGATGGAGCAAGCCAGGAGGGCTGCACAGGAGAGGCATCAGGAAACTCTGAAGGGTGGTCCATCTATTCTGCTTTTTGTCTATGAAGCTGCCAGGCCCCATGGGGCTGGCCACTTGCATAAGACTCTTTATCTATAAGCAGAACTCACATTCCAGCCTTGAGTCCCTGGTTTCCAATGCCCTTGGCTACTCATTAACCAGCAGGAAGGCCTTGGGGAGGGGAAGGGGCTGGGTATGGAGGGGGCTCCCAGCCTGTGGGTGGGGAGGATAGTGCCACAGTGTGGGCACCAGAGTCTGACAAGTGAGTTTGTAGCTGTGGAAACTTGGGAGGGGCTTGTTTACTTTTCAGCCTCAGTTTCCCAAACTGCACAGCACTATTTCAGATCTGCACCTGAGTTACTGAGGGGTGTGACCACGCCTGACAGAGTAAGCACTCCACCTGCTCATCTGTCATTGTTACAGACAGGAAGGTCTCCCACTTCCTAGGACTCTTGGGGCTGCACCAAGCTAAGGTGTTACACCTCTAGGTGAGTCCAGAACCCACTGGTGGTGAGCATCCATGACACATGGCCGTTGATTAAGAGGAAGACTCTTCACAGAGCCAGTTATCTGCCCACTTAGCAGCTGCTCAGGGAGGTGCTCTGAGCTGCTGGGGGCATGTCTGACATCAGAGAACACATGGTCTCCAGCTGGCTGTTTGTGATGTGGGAGCACACCTGGCCAGGAAGTGCGCTGGACAGCAAAAGTGCAACTGGGTCCAGCCACCAGTGATCGCCACCAAAGGTCCTTAGGGTGACAAACTGACTTTTCTCTCATTCTTGGCTTCACTCGTGACCCCACATTGACCATACCCCAACCCTACCCCAGTGAGAGACTGTCCCCCTTAGAAGCTGGGGGCATGGCTCAGGGGGGAGCACTGTGCAAGGCTGAGGGGTCACCAGAACCGGGAAAAGAGAAAAGAGGAAGAGACGCAGGGAGGAGAGAGATTAGAAACGAAGAGATCTCTGTCCAGGAAGGTTCTCAAGTTCTCAAGAGCAGGGTTCCACAGGTCGGTCATGAGATTGGCAAAGTAGCAGGACGGGGAGTGGCTGGCAGCTGGGAAGGGCAGGGCCCGGGAGCATTCCAATGTGTAGCACCATCGAGTAGTACTGAGTGCCAGGAGTAAAGGGCTTTGAAAGCCCCAAGTTTAAAATCAGTCAAATCAGCCTGAAGAAGACAACATTAAATCCCTCTTAAAGACATTACTGTGATCCTGTACTAAAAAAAAAGGGGGGGGGGTGGTAAGAAAAAGACAAGAGAAAGAAAGCAGGCTGCAATAAATACCGGACAATCAGCAAAGCATCATTAAGGGCTACAGATTAGATAAGAGAACTGTGCCAATGTTAAATGTTCTGGGTTGATAATTGGGCTGTGGTTATATAAGACAATGGCCTTACGCTTTTGAAATATTTGAAGGACTGGGGGAAAGGGGCACCCTACTTCCAACTTACTCCCCAATGATTCAGCGAAAACAATATTCATGTGACTCTTTCTGTAGAGCAGAGACGTGGATAAGGAAAGCAACTCTGCCAAAGGTTTTCAATTTTGTTCAAATAAAACCTTTAGTGGAGCTGAGGCTGTAGCTCAGTGGTAGAGCACAGAGCATAGATCCACCCCTAGCAACTTACACGCACAAAGCTGAAGAGATGAGACAGGCTTGTGATGAAAGCCCCAATTCCCGGAGCAACTTGTCTGTAGTCAGGGCACCCTTGAATGTGGGTCTGGCCCTAATCTCAATCAACTCATTCAGGCTTCCATTCTCACATGACACCTGTCATGGCTACTCTCTGGCACAGTATGAGTACAGGCAGGTCAGAGCACACACAGGGAACCGAAAGAGAGGAGCCAGGAGACCCTCCACACAGAAGTGCCAGGGATAAGGTGCTGGGGCCACCTCGGGTATCTTGTCTTCTAGAACCTGGAGGAGGCACTGACCTATAGCCCCTTTCCCCCAATTCCCCTGCCCCCAGGATCCTGCTGTGGGTCAAGCTGAGCCTGAGCCTATAAGGAGGCTGAAAGCTACTTACATTTCAGAGGCTCCTCCAGTGAGGCTGTGGCTTTGTCTCTGCACCTGAACAAAGAGGAGGCAAAGAGGTATGGTCAGGACCTATGTGCCCAGTCCTGACTGTGGTTGACCCCAGACACATACATACTGGGGAGGGGCCTCCCTGACTTGGGGGGCCTGGGACCAGGGATGAGGGTTGCGGAGTTGCAAGCATGCATAGGTAAATACAAACCCCCACTCTTACACATGCTAACTCAGACCCAATTAAATGGACGCATGTGTACATACACACACATAACACTTGCTCAGCATGAATCCTTCCTCTGGATTCAGTGCCCTTGAGCCCAGTCGGCCCAAGTTCTACAGAATGCTGTGGGGAGCCGCCTACAGCCCTGGTGGGTTGAGGGGCAAGAAAGGTCCCTCTTGATGGTGCACGTGGATGAGCCACCTGCCAGATCAGACTGGAAAGCCTATACTCCTATCAGCTCCATCACATGCCCAGGTCCCAAGTCTGACTGGCTATTCCCTATGAACAGGGCAAGGCTAGACAGGGAGGTGGAAAGGCCCCCAAGATACTTGTTTTAAAATGTTATTACATTTATTAAAAATAAATAAAAATGTTATTACATTTATGTATTTGTATGTGTGTGTGTGTGCGCACACTCATGTGGAGGTCAGAGGACAACTTGCAAGAGAGGTTCTCTCCTTCCAACATGGGGGTACTGGGATCGAACTCAAGTCATCAGGTTTGGCAGTAAGCACCTTTAGTGGCTGAGCCATCATGGCAGTCCAACCCCAAGATTCTTAAAGAATGCAAAGACCACCAATTACCATATTAAATGTTCTAAGAACCACCATGCCAAGGAAAGCTGAACTTTGCTGAGCCAGCAATTCTCCAATGAGAATGACCCAGAACCTATTTTATGGATTCTGCTGTGGTTTTTAATTTTTATTTACTTGGTCAGTTTTGTAGTAATGTGGATTGAACCCAGAGCCTTGTGGATGGTCCCCAAGAGTTCAACAGAGCTGCACGCCTAGCCTCTTGTTTAGTTTTAGTTTTTTTTCTTAACAGGGAACCTCTGTTCTTTAGAAACAGACAAGTGGGGGCAGAGCACAGGGACTGGCCTCCCAGGCCACCCTCAGTGCTGCTGGCCTGAGGCAGGAAGGCTCTTCAGCTTTCCTGGAACATAAGAATGTGGAAAACCAGGAAAGAGTTTCTTATCGGTAGAGATCTAAGATTTCAACAAACACTCAAACTGGAATTAGTGGTGCATGGGGGGTTGGGAAGACGTGGCCTCTGTTCAACCCCGCTCCTCTCCTCCCTACAGCCCCACCTTCTTTCCCAACTCTGAGCAAAGCTATCACTAACACAGAGGCCTCTCATCAGACCCCTCATTATTGCATTAGGGCACCCACTGGGTCCAAGGCGTCATGTGGGAAGAAGAGTCAAGGACTGCCTGGGCACCTACCATGTGCCAGACAATGTACAGGGCAGAGACCACAGAGAGATCACAGCAGGGCCTAGGAATCTGTGATCCCTGCTTTCAGAGCCCAGAACCATATGGTGTGGCTGAGATAGGAGTAAGAAGCCGCTGAGGCCTCTTCCACTTTCCACTTCCCAGGTGGACACATGCTCTGTAGAGGCTGGGGTGGACTAGTAATGTCTGCCATGGGTGAGGTACAGAAGTGGCAAGTGGTAATGTGTACCTGACTCTCCTGGGTGGTGCCAAAGGAAGAAAGATAAAGGGAAAGATGGAGTGGATGTGTTTAAAAGCACAGTTCCCAGCACAACATTCAAGGAACCGTGAAGGATGGATGTCCTTCTATGTGGGATGAGTTCTCACTAGTAAGGGGAGGCCAGCACAGCTCAGACAGGAGGATAAGCATGGTTTGCAGTCCCAGTAGCTTTAGCTTGCTGGCACTCACACTCCAAGGGGGGACGGCCCGATTTGATTTGACCAAGAGACACACATGCATTGAATCCATCCTATGGGGTCTCAGGGCCAGACCTCACTTTCTACTTTCAAGTGTAATGTGAGCTAGGTCTGACCAATCAAAGAGGGTCATCACCATTGGCTCATGTGTGGACTTGACCATGCCCAGACAATAGGAATGAGGAACTCTTGTTAAAAATACTGGGGGGAGGGGCTGGAGAGATGGCTCAGCGGTTAAGAGCACTGACTGCTCTGGCAGAGGACCCAGGTTTGATTTCCAGCACCCACACGGTGGGTCCTTAACTCTAGTTCCAGGGGAATCTGAAGCTCTCCTCTGACCTCTGCAGCATTGCACGACATGGGTACACTCACATACATGCAGGCAATACACTCATACACATAAAATAAAAATAATAAATTTAAAAAAAATACTGGGGGGAAAAGAAGACTTGGGCCAAAAGATGGATCAGTAGGTTAAAGACATTTGCCTTGTAAGCCTGGTGACCTGAGTTCAATCTCCAGAACCCACACAAAGGTGGAAGGCAAAAACTGACTCCAAAGTTGTCCTCTGATCTCTACATGCTTGCCATGGTGTACATACCCACACATATACATATCATGCACACACACAATAATATAATTTTTTAAAAGAAGGTTCTTCCTAGGTTGAAATGGCTTGTCAGGATGGGGTTCCACTGAAAGAGCTGAGGTACCCCCAGGGAGAATGAAGTAGGAACTGAGGGACACAGAGCCCAAACTGGAGAGAAAGAAGCAGACCAATGATGGCTCAGCACCTGGATGCAGCCATGCCTGAAGTACATGATCTAGTTTCTTCAGTTAAAGGATTGGTAAATATTCAATTGATTTCTAAAGTTAATTTGAACTGAGTTCTTCCCATTACAACCACAAGAATCCATTCTTGGCAAGGTGTGATGACAAGCACCTGTAATCCCAGCACTCATTAGGCTGAAACAGGAGATCATGAGTTGGAGGCCAACCTGAGCTACACAGTGTGTTTGAGGCCAGCTTGAGCTAAATGGAAAGACCTTGCCTCAAGAAATAATTAAACAGGGAAGCTGGAGAGATGGGTCAGCACTTAAGAGTGTTTGCTATTCTTGCAAAGGACTGGAATTCAGTTCCCAACACCCACATCAGGGGACACACACACATAAAAAAATAAATGCCCAGGGATGTGGATTGAGGTGGAGTACTCACCTGGTATGAGCAAGGCCCTGGGTTCATCCCCAGCAACGTAGTGTGTATGTGTGTCTCTCTTTGTGTGTGTGTGTGTGTGTGTGCATATCTGTCTGTCTGACACCTATGCCCTGACTTGAATTTGCTGTGTCACTTTATGCTTGTTCTCTTTCTGAGATTTGGCCCATTGGAACCAAGGGGGAGGATGCAGGTGACAGATGACTTGACATCTGAGGACCCCACAGCCCTGGCATTCTAGCTGCCACACGCCTGTTGCAATGCTTAGGCCTGACCCTCCTCTCACCTGTGGGCACACAGGAAGAGAAGTGTACACCAGCCCTCACAGGAAGGCATGTGAAACATCTGGAGGACTCTTCACACCAGCTCACAAGCTCTGCCCTAGCTCTAATACCAGGTCTGGATGGGGCGACATTACCTCTCAGCTCCTACATGATGTCTTGCATTCACGGTCCAGGACCACCATGGTCTAAGGACTCAGACACTCATCTGTCCCATGCTTTGAACTGCTGAGGCCAGATGACAAACATAAGCCCCAGGCAGGCAGCCGACCACGCGGCTTTTCTCCATCCTCAAAGCAGGTGGTTTCAAGGAAAATCCATCTTTCCAGAAAGCCAGCACCAGTCCCAGGTCAGGGGGTGGCCTTCAGTACAGCCACTCCTGCCAAACCCCACCCTGAATTTTATCTAGATAACAGGATACTATTTAAGGGATGTGTTGCCTCTGGGGACTCCAGAAGACTCCATGTTGTCTTCTAGGAGCCCAAAGCCTATCCCAAAGGCTCCCCACCAAACAGGCAGCATTCCAGACCCTGCTGTGGGCCTTGTCCTGACACACTGACTAGAGCCAGTAGCTGTCTGCTGAGCTTGGCTGGCCCTGGGCTCTCCCCTGACTTACATCCGACTTGGCTGCCTGGAAGAGCCTCCTGTGGCTTTTTGGACCACTGACTCTGCTGGGTAGAAAGCGGCTTCCCCACAGAACCCTTTCCAAGGTGGCACTGGCCCAAGGGTGGCTCAGCCAGTTCCCAGCCCTGTGACCTTGGGCCAGTCACCTGCCCCAGGAAAGCCTTGAAGTGAGGAGTACGGAGATGGACAGTGCCATGTTATGCTTATTTTCAGTTTTTGGGCTGGGAGGGACCTTCAGCCTTGATCTCCTATATTGCTCAGGGGCTATATTGTCCCAACTCCTGGGCTCTGGCCACACTTCCACTTCAGTCCCTTGTTTCCTGCCCCTCTGTGCCCCAAGTAACTGGGACCACAGATACACCCAGTGTGCTGGCTATCACAGTTCGACTTTCAAAGACCACCAGATGTTAGGTCCCAAGATAGGGACTCCAACTTGACCTAGAGTGTGGCAGGATTGAGAACCTGGTATGGTGACTACTGTAGTCTCAGCACTCAGGAGACTGAAGCAGGAGGATCATGAGTTTGTGGTTAGCCTAGGCTACATAGGTAAGACCCTGTCTCAAAACAAAACAAAACAAAACCAAAAACCAAGCCTACATCAGGATGGCCTAGTGGTTAAGGCATTGGAATTAAGATCCCATGGACATATATTCACATGGATTCGAACCCCCAGCCCCCCGGTACATCTGCAAGGGCTGGTGAGATGTCTTAGCAGGTAAAACCATTTACCACCTAGTCTGACAACCTGAATTCAACCCCTAGGTCCCAAATGGTGAGAAAACAGACTCATACAGGCACACACGTGCTGTGGCGCATTCACATCCACACATATCCACACAAATAAATAAATAAATAAATAAATAAATAAATGAATGAATGAATAAATAAATAAATAAATGTAAAAGATAAATCACATCTAGAAACCAATAAGGAAGAAATGCCCCAGTCTGAAGAGGGCTGGTCTACATTGTTATAAGTGTTTATTTAAATACCCCACAACAGAACTACAATGTAT